CATCAATGATGCGAGAGAATCATTGATCGGCTGCCTCCTGCACACCCCCTACTGGGGATTGAGCCCACAACCCTGGGCATGTGCCCTTGACCAGAATCGAACCCAGGACCCTTCAGTCCACAGGCTGACGCTCTATCCACTGAGCCAAACTGGCTAGAGCAATAAAAATCTATTTAAAAAAAAAAAAACTTTAAAGGAGAATATATACAAATGTGTATATGTGTATTTTACATATACACATCAGGCAATAAATACCTGAAGCAATATGCATATATGCATAACCCATGGGCACAGACAATAGCATGGGGAAGGCTTGGGATGGGGTGGGAATTAGGTAGAGAGGGGCAAAAAGGGAGAAAATGGGAGACATTTGTAATACTGTCAACAATAAAAATCCTATATAATAAAAGGCTAATATGCAAATAGACCAAATGGCGGAACAACTGAACAACCTAACAACCGGTAGCTATGACATGCGCTGACCACCAGGGGGCGTGCACAGAACATGGCAGGTGTCAGCCGTGGCAGGATGGTGGATCAGGTGAGTGGGGGCACCAGACCAAGGCGGGGCACTGGTTGCTGTCATTGGGGTGAGCCTCTGTGGTTACTGAAAATTCTTTGCTCCTGCGCGCCATGAACCCATCTGGCGCTCACACCTGCTGCTGGCACAGGCCCCACTCGCACCCACTGCTGGCTCCAGAGCCACCACTTGCACCTGCTGCTGGCACCAGCCCCAATTGCTCCATGCCGTCAGCAGGTGCGAGCGGGGCCAGTGCACCATCAGCACGTGGGAGCGGAGGTGGTGGGAATGGGGCTACCAGCAGACAGGGGGCCAGGGTCCACGGTGGGAGGGGCCAGACGGGGGCGTGGAGGATGGGCTGAGACACACCCCTCTGCCCACCACAGCCTCAGGGCCCACAGTTCCTTTCAAGGTGCATGAATTCATTCACTGGGCCCCTAGTAATTTAAATAAAGACCTGAAGCAAATACAACAAAATGTTATAGTGACAGAAATGTAGGTATTTTTTATATTCCTCATATTTGAAAATATTTTTTTTTTTTTTAGAGAGAGAGAAAGGAAAAGAGAGAAACATTGATTTACTGTTCAACTTATTTGTGCATTTATTGGGTGATTCTTGTATGTGCCCTGACCAGGGATCAAACACACAACCTTGGCATATCAGGATAATGCTCTAACCAACTGAGCTAGCCAGCCAGGGCATGAAAATATGTCTTAACTTTCTCAATGTGAAGAAGAATTTTATTTTTGGATATACTTAATTTGAGATGTTTCTTCTGAGATGGTTTACTTCTGGGCTATTTTGTTTCATTGGTCTATATATCTATCTATATGTCAGTACCACACAGTCTTTACTACTGTTGTTTTGTAGTATGTTTTGAAATCAGGAATTGTGAGGTCTCCAATTTTGTTCTTTTTCAAGATTGTTTTGGCTATGCAAGGTTACTAATACATTTTAAAAATATGTTATTTTAGTGTGAATTTCCATAATGATTAGAGAAGTTCTGAGAATTCTTTCAATATTTTTTGGTCATAGATTGGTCATAGATGGATGAAGAGGAGAAGGATGTGTAAGCATCATTTAAATATTTAAGTGTTTGCCTAATGATTCATCTAGTGTTCAAAATTTACATAATCCTACTATGGAAGATTTTTTTATTTTTATTTTTTTTGTGTTTTGTTTTCATTCTGATATTTTCAAAGAAACACTGTGGTTAAAAAAAGAAATTTTGTGCAAAATGCATACTATTTCCATAGGACAGATTCCCAGACATATAATTACTGGGTCAAAGAGTATGAATCTTCAAAGCATTTGCTGCCTTCCAGGAAAGTGTTGCAATATATGTTCCTTGGGAGAATCCTAACTTGAAATCTAGCGGATCTGGGAGTGCTTTCTATAGGCCTAAGGTCTGTCCTTTATTTAATCATTCGTAACTGATAATTAATTATTCCACTTTGGTTGATACATATACCTTTGTATTAACCTCTGGTTTAATTAGTATTGATCCCACTAATGAATGAACACAAAAAGAAAATATTTTCGCTCAATATCAGGAAGGGCTTGCTGAAGAAAAAACTCTTCCAAGATAGACACTCCCCAGTATTGGAGGTAGGTGAGCAGAGACTGAACAATTATAGCAGAATGTTATGAATGAGTCCTTCTTTCTTTCCTCAAACCTTTAGAAAACACCTCTTCCCTCAGTCACGTACAAGGACCTGAAGACCCAGAGGTGAAAAAAAATTTTTTTTAATATATTTTATTGATTTTTTACAGAGAGGAAGGGAGAGGAATAGAGAGTTAGAAACATCGACGAGAGAGAAACATCAATCAGCTGCCTCCTGCACACCCCACACTGGGGACATGCCCGCAACCAAGGTACATGCCCTTGACTGGAATCGAACCGGGGACCCTTCAGTCCGCAGGCTGACGCTCTATCCACGAAGCCAAACCAGTTAGGCAAGGTGAAAAATTTTTTTTTAAATATATTTTATTGATTTTTTACAGAGAGGAAGGGAGAGAAATAGAGAGTTAGAAACATCAATCAGCTGCCTCCTGCACACCCCACACTGGGGATGTGCCGGCGACCAAGGTACATGCCCTTGACTGGAATCGAACCCTTCAGTCCGCAGGCTGACGCTCTATCCACTGAGCCAAACCAGTTAGGCGAGGTGAAAATTTTTAAGGTGCTGCCGCCCAGGCTGAATTTCAAGAGTTTAGCTAAAGGATCCAGTCCTGGGTCCTCTGAATACTTTGTTGATGGCTGGACCTTAATTTTAGGCTTTGCAGGGTGTGCCGGTACGAATGGAAGACTGGAAACCCAGAAAATGAAAACAGCTTTTATGGGAATTCAATTAATTACGTTTCTTGAAACTATCCATCAAGTTCACTTGTAGATGTTGGGGGCAAAGATAAATTCTTGCAGAAGGGACATTCAGGGGCGGGAGAGGAAGAGACAATTCCGGGTGGGGAAGGTTGGGCGAAAAAGAGCAGTACCTCCTAGTCTCCCAACTTGGCTCCTTTCGTGTACCCCCTCGACTCCTGGTACCTACCCTGCCGGCTGAAATGAGCGCCCGCGGGCAGGCTAGCTGGGTGGGTCACTTAGTGCCCCGGAACCTCCCGCGCAAGCTCGTGCAGCAGTGCGTCCGGGGAAGCGTTTGCGCGCTACACCGCCCTGCGCAGTGCCCTTCAGCCCGGTGCCGGGAGGAGAAAGTTTAGGACGCGGGACCCGGCGGTGGTCGTGGTGATTTTCTTCCCAGTGGGCGGTCTGAGGCCAGGCCTCAAGTAAGAGCGGCCTCACCATGATGACCGGACGGCCGGGCCGAAGGCCCTTAGAGTTCCTGCCGGATGAGGCCCGGAGCTGCCCCCGCCCAAGCTGACGGACCCGCGGCTCGCCTACTTCGCCTCTTGGACTATTACTCCGCCCTCCTGAATCACACGATTCGGCAGCA